ACAAAGTTACAGCAACATGTTTACAAACTAGTTCAAGATGCTGGACACACAGTAAAAGGTCTCAACCAATTATATAGCATTATCTACAAAAGATTAGAACAATGTGTTGGTGCTGAAACACCAGCCTTGATATAAAAAGTGGAAAGGGAAAATCAATTTAGTACAGTACTATTACAATATATTTATACACCGATATATACTTATACAGCGATCAGCCATACAGAATGACTACTGACAGGTGAAGTGAATAACATTGATCATCTAATTACAAAGGTATCTGGAAGTGGGTGGGATATATTAGGCAGCAAGTGAACATTTTGTTGATGTGTTGGAAGCAGAAAAAAATGGGCAAGCATAAGGTTTTGAGCAACTTTGAAAAGGGTCAAATTGTTATGGCTGGATGACTGGGTCAGACAAACTCCAAAACTGCAGCTCTTGTGGCATGTTTATGGCCTGCATTGGTTAGGACTAGAGGTGCACCGAAATGAAAATTTGAAAACACGAAACTAAACCGAAATAAAAACAAAATGTCAGGCTGAAACCAAAAATGTTTTTTATTTTAACTTTTTCATATTTTTTTTTAAATATTTTTATTTTTTATAAAGTTTTGAATTTTTTTATATTTATTTTTATTTATTCATTCATTTTGTATTTAATATTTTTATTTTACTTTTAGGGGCTTTGGGGAAATATTTAGACCCCTGATATTTCCCTTTTAAAATAGAAAAAGAGATTGAGGACACAAGAGTCCTCAATTTCTTTTTCTGTATCTCCTGTTATAAAGGAACAGGAATCCTCTATGAGTGTTCCTGTTCATTCATAACATGAGAAAAGAGTATGTTTACTATAACCACAATCATGAATGAATAGGAGGTAGGATGTAGATCACTTCCCATTCATTGATAATTGAGGATATCGCAAATATACTCTATCTTCAATTATGTACAAACACTCAGTGATTACTGAGTGTTTGTACCGCTCTCCATCCTGATGCGCTGTCACAGGAGGCTGAGCATGCAGTGCGGGGGGAGAGCTCAGCCTCCTGTGACAGCGTTGGCTGTCTTTGCCCACACACCGTTCTGCCGATCTGTGACAGGAGTCTGAACGGTGTGGCAAGAGAGACGTCGACTGCTCACAGCGCTCTCATCCCGCAGCGGGGAGGAGAGAAAGAATGGATGCACCACTGTATCGACCAGAAAATGGCACTTTCGGCATTATGCCAAAAGTGCCATTTTCGGCTGATATGTTTCGGCGGCCGATATATCGGTGCATCCCTAGTTAGGACCTACCAAAAGTGGTGAAGGGAAGAAAAAAAGGTGAACGAGCGACAGGGTCATGGACATTGAAGGCTGGCCCATGTAGTCCAATCCAATAGAAAAGCTACTATAGCTCAAATTGCTGAAAAAGTTAATACTGGTTCTGACAGAAAGGTGTCTGAACACACAGTGCATCGCAGTTTGTTGCATATGGGGCTGCATGGCCGCAGACCGGCCAGGGTGCCCATGCCGACCAGTATCCACCACCAAAAGCACCTACAGTGGGCATGTGAGCATCCAAACTGGACCACAGAGCACTGGAAAACTGTGTCCTGGTCTGATGAGTCACATTTTCTTTCACATTGAGTAGACGGCCAGGTGCGTGTGCATCACTTATCTGGGGAAGAGTTGGCATCACAATGCCCTATGGGAAGAAGACAAGCTGGCTGAGGCAGCGTGATGCTTTGAGCAATGTTCTGCTGGGATATCTTGGGTCCTGCCATTCTTGCGGCACCGACCTAAATATTGTTGCAGATCAAGTACACCACTTTATGGAAACCGTATTTCCTGATGGCAGTGGCCTCTTTCGGCAGGATAATGCACCCTGCAACACTGCAAAAATGATTCAAGAATAGTTTGAGGAACTCAACAAATTAGAGGTGTTAAGTTGGCCTCCAAATTCTCCAGATCTTAATTAAGTTGAGCATCTGTAGGATGTGCTGGAAAAACAAGTCCATTCCATGAAGGCGCCACCTTGCAACTTACAGGGCTTAAATGATCTGCTACTGACAGCTTGGTGCCAGATACCACAGCATACCTTCAGTAGTCTTCATGGGTCAGGGCTGTTTTGGCAGCAAAAGGGTGACCTACTAAATATTAGGCGGGCAGTCATAATGTTATGGCCGATTGGTGTATATGTACAAAGAATGAAGAGTGTATTGAAAAAATAATAAAGTATCAGTTAACAGCATATTTACTGCTCACTGAGAGTATGAATAGTTTCCAAAACTTTCTTCAAGGTAAATGAAAGTGGACCAACAGCCAGAGACATCTATACAAATTTAAAAGGGGGTAAAAAGTTACCTCTTGTGAGGCGTGTTAAATGCTCAGCTCAGTCCTGTTTAGTGTGTAATTCATTCATTTTTACCAATCGAGTATTACAGCCAGCACTGTACTTCCAGAGCTGCAGGTCTCATACAGTAAAGGGCTCTTCCCATTTACCCACTCATTTCCTTTTCCCCCTTGTCCATTTATAAAACACCTAGTTTTCTGTAAACAAATTAAAGGTGTTCTTTCCTTGTCCATTTACAGAGGAGGGGTGGGTAAGCAATGGGATTCCTTCACTGTATGAGAGCCACAGCTATCTAGCTCTCATAGCAGAAACACCAGAAATACAGCAGGTGCAAATTAATGAATTATACTCTAAACAGGAATGAGCTGAGCATTTAATACACATAGCTAGAGTTGCGCTTGAAATTATTTTTTAATTACTTGCAGATATACTGTCTGGGCCTTTAAGTCACTTACAGGTTTTTGATTTTGCTGTTAAAATGCAACAGATAAGATAAGGGTAGTGTTTAAAAGGACATAGGAAATAAACTTCCAATACTTGGTTAAATATCTTATATAATGATTATTCAGGCAAATAACCCTGAAATGTTAGATAGCAAGGGTTTAAGTGCAATGTTGCGGTATGAAGGTACAATTTGTAATAAACTGATGGCTACTCTCAGCTCCTGGTACCCTGTCACCCATCTATGGACATGGCTACATTTCCAGCATCTCTCTCTTTAGGTGCATGCCATTGTAGCACTGCCACAAACAACATCTGTCTCTTGGATGTTGTTCAACTGGTCTGCCACCAGCCCAAACTTTAGTTTTGTTATGAATTAAATGCTACCCTTGCATACACTAACCTTAGCCTATCTACTGAATTTCCTTGAGCACTTTCAGTCTTATCCCCACCTTGTATAAGACCATGTTTACCTATCCATTGTTGCAACTGGCTGCACTTCAGCTGTGCCAGGTAAGGAAATCTAAGGGACAAGCTGAAAACATCAGAGAGCAAAACCTATATTTTCTTGCAGTTGTTTCTGGTAAAGACCAGACGCTTCTTAGATTCTATAATTCAGGGAATCCATGCTTTCCTTTAGTGACAGAGCATTAACATTACACAACAAAGGGCTAATGACCATGTGTATTATTTTAAAGTAAAGAGTCAGGGACAGAGTATATGTTATTTGCACAACTTGGCATATACATAATCTGCTGCCTTTGGACCTGCCTATCTTTTATAGTCTAGTTTGCTCAGTTTCCTCAGGGCACTTTGGACACTCAGATAGTTTTGATCCTCTGTCCAAACACAACTAATCTTTGTCCGATTCTTTGGCACCAAATGATTCAGGTACTGACCTTAACCTATGTAGACATTCTCTGCCTAGTCCTCACTTGGCAATGGCCAGACACTCATGTCACATATTGGAGTATATCAAGGATTTAATCGCCTTCATGGCTAAGTATATTCTGAACTTTGTGACTCCAATCGGAAGACTTCTAATAACTGTTTTACAAACATCTTTTCTACTTTGGTGGCTTGCTTTCACACAGTGGAGCAATCCATCTCTCTCCGGTGCTTCAGTTTAAGGAAGGGGGAGGTGGGGGGTGTTACTGACACAGAAAAGTTTTTGCTTTGTCAGCTAATTGCTGTCAAATTAAAATAATTACCTGCTGAAAGTGTTGGAAGCATGTATGTTTAGCTCTCAGTTAGTGCTCATACACAGAGTTCTGTACATAAAAGTACACTCTGGTGTGCATATTCTTGGGCAGAGTTCATCATATTGGGTTCATATATATTTCCCTAAGCAGTTATACTATAAACGTCTTAACATTTTCAAATATGGGTGTCAGCCTAAGGGGCTAAAAGCACAACATCCACATTATTAAAACTAAACAATATAAAAATACAATTGAAAACCCAATAAAGATCAGACTTAAGGTTTCACAGTTTTCAATTTTCTGAACTGTACCTGTGAATTCCTAATATTTAATTCTGTAATATAACTTATTTGTGAATTGAAAATCAGTCATGGTTACATAAACTTTAGTAAGAAAAACTGTATGAAGAATGATAAAACCATTGCACAGTAGAAAAATGTAAAGTATTTAAAATAAGAACCACAGATTGAAAAAAAACTTACTCGTGACCAGTAACAAACTGCAAGTGCTTAATATGAATGCAGTTCTATGCACTTTTAACTTAAAGCAGAACTCGAAGCAGAGAGGTTTTTGTGACATTTGGTGGGAAAGTTACCGCTAATGAGTTTTATCCAACATCTGGATCGCTACTGTGTAATATAAAAATCATTAATTTATTCATTCAGGAAAGTAAAGCTAGTGCTGTACTTCGATGCTGCGACACTCCTACACAGAAGCTATAGTGTCATTGATACAACTTTTTTCTCCTGTTGCCAATTCAGAGAATGCCTTATATTCTGTGAACAGTTCAAAGTATACAAGGTGTTGTCTGAATGTACAAAACTATCCGGCATTAAAAAAAGTATTTTTACACTACACCGCAGCGATCCGGACATGAAATTAAAATCATAAAAGGTACATTTTTCCCACCAGCCCCAAAAACCGTTCTGCCTGGAGTTTCATTTTAATGGCCACAGTTCTATTACACAGAATTTTCTACCAGTATAAATGGAAAAAAATATTTATATACATACATATTTATATACTTACTAGACTGCATGGTCCTCTCTTTAACATCTGATGTCCAAGCACCCTGGCCTTGCAGAGACCTAGCTGCAAGGCGAAATATATATTCTGTATTGGGTTTTAAACCTTCCACTAAATATGACGTTGTTGGATCAAAGGTCTTTTTGATCTGTTAAAAATATATTTATTGATTACAATCTTTTCTTGCACACCACATAGGAGAGAACATATTAAACAGGCTAAACATTTAAATATTTATCAATGATAGCACTAAAAAGATTTATTCAAAAGGTCCATCAATTTTTAACTCATCAAACATTTTTAAAACCGACATTAGATTGCAAAACAAATATATGCAATTTTTCAACATTGTGCATAGCTATAAAATATACCTGTGCTTTTCTGCTTTTAAAGTTATATTAATAATATATTTTTAGATTACTGGCCCTTTTTTGATCAATAGTAAAACCGTACATGCATGCAAAGTATGTGGACTAAACTCAAAATCCTGGCATATTTTTTTAATATATATTTAGCATGGAATTCACAGTTTAAAAAAATGCCAGCACTCCAAACTAATCCACTGGGAACACTTTATAAATTACACAGCAGGTTAAAAGCCGATATCCACACAATCATGGCCCTAATCATAGCTGGATACAGGTCTACATCCCCTTTAACCCCTTCATGACTGAGCTTTCTTTCAGTTTCTGTTCGTTAATGACCGAAGCAGGTTTTACATTTTTGCTGTGAGATTCTTCCACAGGAGTAATATACTTTTTTACTAAGTGTACCCACACATAATATACCTTGTATTGTTTTTTTAGAGGACAGATATGTGATATAAATATATAGCCCTATGTGTGTCTAAGGCCTCACTTAGGACAAATAAAATATAAAAATCACTTTACCCAGTTTTGATTATTTTTTTGAAAAATAACAGCTAAAAAAAGATTTCAAATAAATAAATTTATTTGGAAACACCTCACATCCCTAGGATTTCAGAAATGTTTCTGTACTTCTCAGCCTAAAAATAAAAGCGAACGATTTAATAGTGGTCACCAGGTTAGACAGGTGGCATACAATGTGACTGTCACACACTATGAACATCGCCATCATGAGGGGGTTAAATTAAAAAAATTAACCCCTTAGGGTGAAAAACAATGTGTCCTCATGTTCAACGCAGGTGAATGGACCTTAGACCGCTGGAGCCTGGGGGGAGAAGAGGCTGAGGGGACAGGTCTAGCAGTCAGGCAGGTTCGAAGATCAGGTGAGTATATCTTATTTTATTGATCCCCTAGAACAAAATGAGCAGTTAACCCTTGCAGTATGGGAATAGCCCCACTGCAAATATTAACTTTGTTAATTAATGGAGTTCTTCTTTAAATACTCTCCTCACTTCAATAGAGTGAAAATATGGGACAATATGGGCAGTGTTAGGGCCATATAAAACACAGACACACAATCACATACACACACAGGTTGAACTGAATGGACCCTTGTCTTTATTCAACCGTACCTACTATGTTACTGTCACAAGAAATGGAATCATCAAATGTTACATTCAAGATAGCTTGCGGAAAATACCTAAATAGTAATAGTAATTTTAAAGAAGGGGACAGAATATTTGAATTTTGTCACCCATTATCCGTGTCTTATCATTTACCAGACTAGACCTTGAGGAATTGAGGAATTCCTTGAGGAATATTATTACTATTATTATTATAATAAAGGATTTATATAGCGGCAACAGTACAATATAAGGAAGACATTACAATCAAAATACAATTCAAGACAAGATGGTAAGGAGGGCTCTGCCTGCGAGGGCTTACAATTTAAAAGGGAAGTGTTACATAAGGAGGTAGCTGTGTGGGGATGAATTGTTTGAGAATGTGATGGTTTAGTGGTTAGGTTGAGGTGGGATAGGCTTCCCTGAAGAGAGGAGTCTTTAGGGAACACCTAAAGGCAGTCAAGGTGGGAGATAGATGGGTAGGTTGGGGTAAAGAGTTCCATAGGATGGGAGACACTCTAGAGAAGTCCTGGAGGTGAGTATGAGAGGAGTTGACAAGGGAGCTGGAAAGAAGGAGGTCTTGGGAGGAGCGGAGGGAGCAGTTAGGGTGATATTTTGAGACAAAGTTTGAGATATATCCGGGGACAGAGTTGTGGATGGCTTTATAAGAGTTTGTTAATATTTTGAATGTTATACTTTGGGTGAGTGGAAGCCAGTGCAGGGATTGGCAGAAGGGGGTTGCAGACACTGAGTGGTTGGTTAGGTGGATAAGTCTTGCAGCTGCATTCATGATAGACTGAAGGGGGATAGAATGGGTAGTGGAAGGCCAATGAGGATGGAGTTGCAATAGTCAAGACGGAAGATAAGGGAGTGGATGAGTAATTTTGCGGTTTCATTGGTGAGGAAGGGGCGTATTTTGGAGATGTTACGAAGGTGAAGGTGGCAGGATTAGGATAGCGATTAGATGTGGGGAAGAAAGGTGAGGTCCGAGTCAAAGATGACACCTAACACCTTGGCATGAGGGGAGGGATGGATGGTTGTGTCGATCTCAAGGGAAATGTTGGGGGAAGGTGCACGGGAGGGAGGAAATATCATGAGCTCAGTTTTAGAAAGATTGAGTTTTAAGAAGTGTTGTGACATCCAGACGGATGTGTCAGTTCAGAGGCGTAACTAGAAACCTCAGGGCCCCGGTGCAAGAAACTGTTAAAGGGCCTCCCGCCCCCCCCCAAAAAAACATGATTTTTGACCCCCTTTTTTTTTAAACCGGTATGAAAAGGTTTTTTTGTGTGTGTCAGAGGGGAGAGCGGGGTACAGGCAGTCACTGATCAGTGATCGCTGAGTGTAGATAATTGAGGACAGAGTATGGTTACTATATCCTCAATTATGAATGAATGGAAAGTAATCTACATCACTTCCTGTTCATTCATGATTTTGGTTATAGTAATCATACTCAATGTCCTCATGTTATGAATGGACAGGAACAGTCAGTATAGAGGATTCCTGTTCATGGATAAAAGGGAATACAGAAAAAGAGATTGACGGCTCTGTGCACCTCTAATTTTTTTTTTAAACTATCACTTTTTTCTTTTATACATTTTTTCTTTTTAGAATTTTCATTATTATTTTTTATTTATTTTTTCATAAATGTTTATTTGATAATTTATCAAATTTTTTTTCACTTAACTTTATTGCTATCACACAAGAGCTAACAAGCCCCATGTGTGATAGCATTTGGAGGTGACAGGTTCTCCTTATTGAATCTGTCACCCTCAATACAGGAGTTCTGGTACCGCACTGTGCTAGAACTCCTGTGACAGCTGAGAGGAAGGGCTGCGAGTGCAGCTCTCCCCTCACTGTCTACTCAACCTGGCGTGAAGGGTGGGGGGCGGGACCTTTCTGAAGGGGGCAGGAACTTACCTGCCTCTCCTCTGCTCGGAGAGGCGGCTCTGATCACACCTGTCTGCTCTCCCTCTCTCTCCTCCTGGCCGCTCTGAAGCTGCAGCGGCCGGGAGGAGAGAGAGGGATCGCTGACAGGTGCAATCAGAGCCGCTGCGGCCAATCGCATTTTTCGCTGTGCCATCCTCTTCTCTCTGGGCCACCCCCGAACTGGCGGAACACCAGGTCCCGGTCGCAAGTACGACCCCTGCAACCCTGATAGTTCCGCCAGTGCATATATGTAACAACACCTGAGGGTTTAATAACACTTTAAAGCATTTTATCACTGGCAGAGCTACCAGGGTTGCAGCGGTCGCACTTGCGACCGGGACCAGGTGTTCCGCCAGTTTGAGGGGGGGCCGAGAGAGAAGGGGAGGCCCGCCGCTCGCAGCTACTCATGCTGCCCACGGGGAAGAATAGAAGATGTAGTGCTGCGGGGGTGTGGCCTGTCAGGGGGTGAGGCCTGTCAGGGAACTCCAATTCCCAGCAGGCAATGTGCAGAGTAGTGTCATTGTCTTGCACTGTAATTTTTTTTCCAACCAAAAATAATAAAATGATTTTATTGTTTTTGGTTGGGAAAAAAAATGGAATGGGTTTCGATGGCCGAGCAGTTGCATCCGAGCCTTACATCACCAAGTGCAATGCAAAGCGTTGGATGCAGTGGTGGACTCTAGAGAAGTGGAGACGTGTTCTCTGGAGTGACAAATCACACTTCCCTGTTTGGCAATCCGATGGATGTGTCTGATTTTGGCAGTTGCCAGGCGAACGGTACTTGCCTGACTGCATTGTGCCAAGTATAAAAGTTTGGTGGAAGGGGGGTTATTGTGTGGGTTTTTTTTTAGGGGTTGGGCTTGGCCCCTTAGTTCCAGGGAAGGGAACTTTTAAAACATACCAAGACATTTTGGACAATTTCATGCTCCCAACTTCGTGTGAACAGTTTGGGGATGGCCCCTTCCTGTTCAGTGCACAAAGCAAGGGCCATAAAGACATGGATGAGTGAGTTTGGGGTGGAGGAACTTGACTGGCCTGCACAGAGTCCTGACCTCAGCCTAATAGAACCCCTATGGGAAGAATTAGAGTGGAGACTGCGAGCCCGGCCTTCAGTACCTGATCTCACACATGGTCAAACATTCCCATAGACACACTCCTAAACCTTGTGGACAGCCTTACCAGAAGAGCTGAAGCTGTTATACCTGCAAAGGGTGGGCCAACTCGACATTGAACCCTACGGACTAAGACTGAGATGCCATTAAAGTTCATGTGCATGTAAAGGCAGGTGTCCCAATACTTTTGGCAATATAGTGTACATTGAGGAAAATTATTATTTGATCCCATGCAGATTTTGTAAGTTTGCCCACTTACAAAGAAATTAAAGGTCTATAATTTTTATCATAGGTGTATTTTAAATGATAAAAACAGATGATCAACCAAAAATCCAGAAAAGACACGATACAAATGTTATAAATCGAGTTTCAGTTCAGTGAGTAAAATAAGTATTTTATCCCCTACCAACCAACAATATTTCTGGCTCCCACAGACTGGCTACGTGGTACACAGATTAGTCCTGTCAGTTTAAGAAGGTGCTCCTAACGACAACATGTTATGTATATAAACAACACCTGTCCACAGAATCTCTTTCTTCCATTCAAACCTCACCACCATGGGCAAGACCAAAGAGCTGTCAAAGGACATTAGGGACAATATTGTAAACCTGCAGAAGGCTG